CATACTGCCCGAGCTGAGTCCATCTTTGTTGTCGGATGTCAATAACAATTCCACAATCCCTCGCCGTACGAGAGCCTGATGTACCAAGATACAGGTCGGTTAGCAGGCAAGCTCCATGTAATGCTCATATGTATTACAATTCGCTACCAAACAAATATACTGTGCAATGTTATATCTGGTAAACAGTGACATCACGGATATAGATGGAGAGGAGTGAGGGTGCTGCTGTAATATATAGAAAAACTGAAGAATAATACTCAAAAGTGTATTAAAGAAGTAAAGAAGTGCAGCAAAGAAGTTCTAATGAAAAGACGGGGGACGTTTATTATATCTGTGTACGCTTAAGACGGGTTATTTTCTTCCTTTGATGCATCTCAGTGTTGCTGATCTCAGCAGTCTCTTTGCAGCCATTTTCTGTCTACATTTACTGCACTGATGGCTGCATGGCATTTCTCAGGGCGGGTTTCCTGATGATGACAACAGCGGATCATTCCAGCATACAGAGTGTGGAATCAACCACTTGCAGTCTCCACCTGAAGCCCGTGTGACAGGGTGACAACGTAGGAGCACCACTGAGAGAACAAGGGTCTGGGTCTGAACAAGGACCTTCATGGCAGGATCACCAGGGCTTACATTAAAGGAGAACTATGAGTGCTTTTCACTCACCTCATAGTTCTAGCCGACCCGTGACACTGAGACTGTCACAGGTCGGCTCAGTAGATCGGGAGGTGAGCGAACACATACCGGCGTTCGCTCACCTCTCGATCCTGTCACGGCTCTCTGCCGTGACAGGGGAGGGGCTGGATTCCCCCCTCCCCGCCAGCGCTGACTGGCGGAACGGACGGGGGAGGGGGCGGGTACAGCTGGCTCTGCCTCTAGATAGGCAGAGCCAGCTGTCAGTCCCGCAGCTGGGCGGATCTCGACATCAATGTCGGGATCCGCTCCGGCTGCGGCGTCTCAGTATACCGCGAGCTGTAGCTGGCGGTATACTGAGCTTAAGGTAACAGGAGGATGCTAGTTTGTGTCCTCCCGTTACCCTAAGGAGAACTATGGGGAAAAGCACTGACCCCATAGTTCTCCTTTAAGGAAACCTAAAGCTGTACAATTACCCAACACAACTTCTGAAATGACATGAACATGTTAAAGCTTATATGAGATTCCAGTGACTGGGTTGCGTGTCATTCTGATCAGGGAACATACATGTTGGGCACAGGAAGGCTGTGTGGAAGTCTAGTAACACATTTCCAGATATGATTCGTCTATGTCGGGCATCTTTGTGAAGCACAGGACATTATATCCACCGTGCTACCTCAGGTACCAAGACCAAAATAACATTGCATTGTCTTTCTATTCTATGTAACAAGTCTTGCTATCCAGACATCCCTTCCAGACAACATAGCACTTCTCTGCTCCTGAGCCATACAGGTTGGTCTGGGACCCTCCTCCACCCTGTATATGGACAACGCAGGAGCAGCAGGATATCACTCAGGTTATAACGCTGCTCTTTGCCGTACTCACAGTCTTTATGAACTCCATGTAGTTGGCATCCTTTGCATAGGAGCCGTACTCATTCTCCACCTGGACCGCGATTATGGCTCCTCCCCTGGAGTACTGTGGAAAGTACAATGAGACAGATCAGGTGATAGGAAAAGAGAGACATCCACTAATTGAGTATTATTGTAATAGCTATCCAACCCTCATCCAACCCAACCGTCTACTCTGCACCAGAGTGATCCATCCGAGCCAAAATACGGTGGAAAATGACAATGTGCATCGAAACGCTATAAAAAGAAAAAAGTAGCACAAAAGGATGGGAGGAGCTGGGATCTTTTTATCATAGAGTCCAATAATGTTAATAGGAGCCTCTTTCATGGAGCTTGGTCGCACGGATGTGGCTTCACTCCCACCAGAGCTGGCCCCAAACTGAAGGAGGGGCCTTGGAGAAATCTATCAAAAAACAGGGAGCGCCAGCAGACGTAGAAGAGTCCACGGTGTTTTTATTGGTAGAAATGAAACAGCATCAAAATCCACTGTGTATGCGGCGTCCACACAATCCACCTTCATCGGGGTTTGAGGAGTATTCAGAGAGGACTCCCTTATGGCAGGGGTAGGCAGTCTCTGAACCCTCCAGCTGTGGTGCAACTACAAATCCCAAGAGGCATTGCAAGACTCTGACAACCACAGGCATGACTCCCTTATGGCAGAGGTAGGCAGTCTCCGAACCCTCCAGCTGGGGTGCAACTACAAATCCCCATAGGCAAGACTCTGACAGCCACAGGCATGACTGCCAGAGACAGATGTATGATGGAATCCCCTAAGTAGAGAGATTGTCCTAATAACCCGGAGTCCAGTTTATTCCCTTTGGGATTCGCCTCTGAATACTCCTCAAGCCCCGATAAAGGGGAACTGTGTGAACCCCCAAAATGTGTTGGATTTTTGTTGCTGTTTTATTTCTACCAAAAAAAAAAAAAACATCCTGGACTCGCCTACGTCTGGTGGC